ACGCACGCACGCACGCACGCACGCACGCACGCACGCACGCACGCACGCACGCACGCACGCACGCACACTCGTAGGGAAACCCTATGTCGCGGGTGCCATGGACACACACATAAGACACCACAAATTACATTCAAACTCACGAGAGAAATGAATGTAGGCCATCCAAATACTTCTCCCAGCGTGGCAGACCAGCATGGTAGCCGTTCGGCCACGAAGACGCTTGCATGTAGGAATACTGAAGGATTGTTAAGTGTCAAGCTTGATGTGCTCTTATACAAATTGCCAGAACAAAATAATGTTACGTTAAGAATTTAAAGCACTAAAATTCTCCCGTCTATTCAAGGTTACTTGTAAAATAAGAACAATCTCGCAGGACTATATTACTAACAATATAAATAACAACGCTTGTTCCATGACTTAACAATTCATTAAAAAACAACACACAAAAAAGAACATCAAAACAATTAAATAGATCGCTTTAAACGGTGATAATTCTATGCGGCAGCAAAAGTAATCTCTAGCATAAATAACAGTGCGCTGCAAAACGCAGGAGGTTGGGTAGGAGTCGTCGGGGGAAACGGCCCTTGCACGTTTGAACTTACATCAAATATAGATGTAAAATGTGTCAGTATAACAAAAACTTTAGTTCATTTTCGGTTAATATAATAAAAATGTTTTGAAAAGTCATGAAACAAAAGTGTTGTTTATAGTAGTATAGTCCAGTGAGGGTGCGCGTATTTAACAAATAACTCTGTACAATTTTCTATACGAAATGACATTTTAATACATTTCATCAATATGAGGTGAGAAGTTTCTTTTTATTAGACTCACCTTTCGTCAACTTTGGAACGAATAGACGCAACTTACTATTTTGACGCAAAAAGGTTATTTACATAAAACAAATAAGAGTTTAATGTTGTATGTTGTGTCAATTAATTTGCGTCGTAATTGTAAGTTACGTCATTAGTGTTGCAAAACACAATTTGTTCATAATTTAGTGACTTTACTATCCACCAACCATCTTGAAATTTGATGATATTTGTCAAAATCATTGATCTCAGAAATAGAAATATAGTGAAAGGTTTTCGAAATGTACAGGATTTATTTCACTTTAAATGTCAGGTTGACTTTCAAATTTAACGATTAAGAAAAAGACAAAGGGCCATTCTTTAATTTTATGACAACGTAATTGACGTATTTGCTATTGCGATTCATATATCTATAATATACATGGTTATTTGTACAATATAAACAAGCTCGCAGGACTATACTGATATCATAAACAACAACTTTTGTTCAATAACTTTTTACAAAACGTAATAAACTTACCAAAAACAAACTTTTGAGTTTTTTTGTATTATCTGATACTTTTTAGATCTGTATTTTTAGCAACAAAAATTTTTTTTATAAGATCAAGTGACGGGACGAACAAGTCATGCCTCTGATGGGAAGCTACACATACGCCTGTTCATAACAGTTACAGTGCCATTCAGAGCTTTAAATGGCAAAGATCTGAGGGGCACTACCATCGCGCCCATCACCGTGAGACCTAAGTTGACAATACCCATGTGCCTGTAATTTCACCAGCATCCCTACCCTTCAAAGCGGAACGCAGTAATGCTCTCATTACTGTTTGGCGGCAGAAATAGGTAAGCTGGCGTACTACCCTGGACGAACTCTTTCACAAGGAGTAGAGCTCCTTCCTCGAGTTTTATTGAAATCGATAATTATTGAAAGATATGAAACCAAAGTTGTTGCTTATGATGATAGTAATATAGTCCTGCGAGATTGTTAGTATTTTACAAATAATCCTGTATATCATCACATTTGTCTCCCAATGGGGTAAGTCCAAAATAAACACCCCTTTGATACGTACGATGTTCACATTCCTTTACCGTTTCCTATAATACGTATAGTCTAATCGATAAATTAGACACCTTTCTCAAGCTGCCGCCTACGATTTACCTATCTCATTCCGTTAGACAGTTATCCATTATGGCCACACCTCCAAAATCATCGAAACTTTCCGACTTTTGAATCCTACTCATTACAACTTCGTATCGTGGACGTATAATATTTCGTACAATGTAATAACACAGAAATATTTTAAAACAACTTTTAGATAATGATAATTCCAGACAATTGGCCTTCTGTGAAAAGTTTGGAAACTTTTCTTCAGAGGCATTTTAGGGTACATACTAAGACAAGTGAGGTCCAACCCTAAAACACCAAGAAACGTAATAAATAACACCTTTAGCTAAGTTGTACCAGTGATAGTGTCTCTCATTTCGCGTCCTTTGGTTTCTATTGGAAGTAAGAGGCATGCAATCGCGGCAAGAACTGCAGCTAGTGAGTATACGCCCGTCGCTATTGCTATGGAGTTCTTTAAAAGGACCTGTAATTAAAAATACTTCTTATATTACCCAAGTTCAGTAATACTTTACTATTCAGTTCTGTAATCTGTGCCATTACACAGGATTAAAGCGACGTTTCGATTGACGGAAATAAAACATTAGAATACATCATACTACATTGATATTTTAGTAGAAAACACTAACATTCACGCTAAATCTTTCTTCCAAGTCGGTTCACTTTATCTATCGTTTACACTTTTGTTTTTATCCGTCAAACGTCCCAGGGACACGGCGTCCTTGATGATTTTGGTATTTTTATTTTATAAAATTAATTTAAAAAGAAAACGATGAAAACACAGTTGCGCGTTAGAGACACCGTGTGGTTCTAGGACGCGTTACGGGATAAAATAATATACTACATAAATATATATATGTTAGGCCAATTTATCTGGTCTCAATATAGCGCATTCCCCTCCTATTAAGACTATGGTCACACCCAGAATTAATCTAGAAAGAAAAGTTTATTTCCGAAATTGGACACATCGGGTATTGAAACCGGGACTTCCACATCAGACCATTTATATCAAACAATAGTTTCTTGAAATAATAATATGATGAACAATAGGGCATTTGCAAAATTGCTTGTACCGGGATTTAATAATCTGGGACTCAAATGCCTAATTATTACTAATTCATCATCATTTCAGCCAAAAGACGTCCACTGTTGAACATAAGCCCCCCAAACAAAGCCACAACGACCTGTCCTGCGCCGCTTGCATCCAGCTGATTCCCGCAGCCTTCACCAGATCATCAATCCACCTTGTGGATGGTCTGCCCACGCTTTTCTTCCGGTACGAGGTTGCAACTCGAAAACTCTTCGGCCCCATAAGCCATGTTCTGCGAGCAATGTGCCCTGCCCATTGCCACTTATGTTTTGAAATTCTTTGTGCTATGTCGGTTACTCTGGTCCCCTTGCGGATATCCTCATTACTGATTCGATCATTAGTAATTATGAAAGTATAAATAAAATAACAATACCTGAGCAACATAGGGGGTGATCATGGCACCAAGTCTCGCTACCCCGCTACAAGCGCCAACGGCCGTTGACCTCAATGCTGTTGGGTACACCTAGAACACGTTGATATTTCTATAATATGATTCCATAAATGAGTAATGCTAGTTGTGGCATCATAGAAAACCAGTAGATAAGTCCAGGAGATTAATTAATTATATTCAAGACGGTCAAATAGGTAAGCAACAGTTTTTTTATTTGGAATCTAAAAAAATATGGTGTGATTCATAGCATTTTAAGAAATGTCTTTACGCCTAATTTCTCAGTCCGCGTTAAGGGTTAATAGCAAATTATATATAAATGTACCAAACACACTACTGAACTTCAACAATTCCAACAGAAAAGCACAAAACAGAGAACGTAGGAGCCAGCTTGACTTTCAAATTACGTGATTACAACCATTTCCGAAATTAAGAAATTGAAATGGAGTATTGGGGTGAAGGATAATGCATAAGATTCGATATTTCACTATAAACGTAAGGCTGACTTTCAAGTTACACAGTTACAACCATTCCTGAACTTCAGAAGTTAAAAAATAGAGAATGGTTTTTACAAATACATTTTAGAAAACATTATGTTCGAAATTGATAATGTAGTGGCATATTTTCTTCATATTGAAGTTGGACCACTATCGAGGTACCCATCTTTATTAAAAAAAAAGAATCATCTAAATAGGTTCACAAATCACAAAAAAGTTGGAGTTCTCGCGTAACATACATAAAAATACGGTCAAATTGAGAACCTCCTTTTTTGAAGTCGGTTAAACATTACTGACAGACGCGCAGCTGTCGCGTCCCTGCAGCGCTTCTACAAACGTGTAATGTCACGGCGTTCTAACAGTTGAGGAACGAGAGAAATTCCGTTTGCGGATTATGCAATTTAAGTGGATGCTAAGAAAGCTTTACTCGCTGCACTTCGATTAGTATTGTATGTATGTACCTCTGGTGTGTACACGTAAGCGGCTTGAAAGAGTCCAGCGATGATACCACGAGCCAGGAACAGCACACAAGTTAGGAAAGTACGACTGAAAGCAAGACAACACATTTGTACTCAGCATACCTAATTTCATACTTCACAGTGGTAACACAATCGCACGTGAAACCAAATATCGTCGTAACTTAAAAATGGTGCAATTGAGAAAACACGATTTGAAAGTTCAAAAAATACTGAATGGAATCAATCAAGTTTCTCCTACGATATATTACACAAGGACGTACTGTCTCCATCCACGCTAGACTTGTGTACAGAGTTGACTACTTTAAATGTTCAGTTTAATAAATATTATTGGAAATGTTATTCTCAAGGGTTGGAGACCTGGTGTCCTGAAACACAGGCCTTGAGCCTAGCTTAGGCACTTGTCTCCCACAATATCTATAGAATAGTTCATAACTTTTAGTTTGTTATGTTTATTGCGTTGTATTGTGGTGAGTAATAAAAAAAAAAATAAAAAAAAACTTTAGTGAATAAATAAAATTATTTATAAACATAAAATTATATTTAAGTTGTTTAAAAATTTGATGTGGGTTGTACAAAAAGGTTCGAATCATTATTGAACAGGTTTCAAAAGTTCTGAGGATTATTATTTTTTTTGTTACCATGAGTACCATCACCAGCCTGCTAAATATCTTTCAACACTGGCTGGTTGATATTCTGCTTTTTGTCTTTGTGTTGCAGTTTCAAACTTTAGTCAGATAATTAATAGTAAAGTGGTTTAAATGGCAACACTAAACCAAAAAGGCAGAATATGCCTCGCGCGATGAGTCTGCTGTTGTATTATGGTCAAGCCTTTTTGTTACCGCCCTGTTGCGTTATTTCTTTGTAATTTCTTAACATCTTTAACAAAAGATTATCTATTATGATAAAAAAGAGCCCTTATAACCCTAACAATATATTCAATGTTAAACTATTTCGATAATAATAAACGTTAACAGTTTTGTACAGTGGAGCATCTCAATATAGATTAGTATAACAATACTTACTTTCCATTATAAATGAGGACACAAACGCAGACGGCGAATATGACGAACTGGGCAGCCATTGTCTTTTTGCGACCAAACTTCTCGATTACAAATATGGTTGCAAAAATTCCTAGAGAGAAATAAAACTATACTTTATTTATAAATATGAGCGTGAGCCTCATGCCATAGTGTAAAGTATATGCTGTACAATAAAATATTCTGATCGCGATATTAGTTAATTAAGTAAGATGGTTATATGAAGATTGACTGCCGCGCAAACATATCGTGGTTCAAATCCCGCCTCGAAGCACTTTGAAATTTATATATTGTTTTCGATTATTTTTTTTGGTTTTATTTTGTTTCTTTTGAGAGTATCTGGCCTGAATAAAGATAAAAGTTTACAAAATACACTATTCATCCTCGTGTCGTCGCGACAGTACTTAGAATTGGTGTGTACTAAATATAAAATTTAAAAACGGTGTCTTAATAAAAACACGCAGAATGGCTCTGGTATCCTGTGCTAAGTGCAAGCGCGAATATAATTCACGGGATGGCGTGGTCTGCTCATCATGCAAAAAACATTTTGAGTTCGACTGCTCTGGTATTTCGGAAAAATTATATTATCTAATGGACTCCAGTAGAAGGAAGAAATGGAAGTGTAAATTATGTGTACAGTCGAAAAACATAACAGAAAAATCTAATGTCACTATTCGAAAGCAACGCACAACAAAAAAAGCGGAAAAGTATAATTACGGGCCACAAACTCAATCTCAAACTCAACCACGACCATCTACAAGCTTAATAACTCCCTCTACCTCACATGATATAGTGAGTGATAAGTCCAAAAAATCTCTTTCGGAACATTATGATTCACACATCCTTAGCGATGACGACACCTATCAAGACTTATACGAAAGTAATGAAATCTTATCGAGAAGTTTAGTAGACATAGCCAATCACAATATTCTTATAGAGGAGATGAAAATAGAAATCAACACCTTGAAATCATCTTTAGGAACTACACAAGAAGAACTAGAAAATACCATTATAGAAAAAAATGAAATGGAGAGGACAATAAATAAACTTACAAAGGATATACAATTATTGAAAAACATATGCCAATCCCCAACAAAAAATTTAAATAATGACAACGAGGTTAAAAGACAATCTATATATAATAATAACATTAAACACACCAGTATAATTGCAACATCAGCGAGAAAAATTGGAATGGATAATAAAGAAATGTTTGAACTTGAAAAAAAAGTTTTACTACTACAACATGAATTAACATTGGCAAAAACTGAAATCGCAAACTTGAACAGGGAACTTGACAAATGTTTAAAGATTATTAATCAAAACAAAAGTGGTAGGAGTCCTTATGAGAGAAACAAAGTTCAAAACTTAAATATGGAACAGAATGACACTGAAGTTATAAATAAACAAAATCCTAAAATATTTATCTATGGCACACAACAATGTAGAGGGTTGGCAGCTACACTAATTAAGGCAAAGAGAAATACTCAACAAGCACATTACGACGTTTCTTCAATAATTAAACCAAATGCTTTCACACAGGACATAATCAGAAACATACACCTTATGACAACACAACCATCGGACAAATTACTATTAAGTATTGGTGAGAATGATCTTCACCCAAAGCAAACAGTGCATCAGCTCAGAAAGTGCCTCCAATCCCTTGGAAATAAAACGGTCATTGTTCTACAGGTAGTGAAAAATTATAATGTTAATAGTGACTATTTGAATACAAACATTGAACGTCTGTGTAACCAGTTTATAAACTGCCGCTTTATATCAGTGAAACGTTATGAAAAACTAAAAGAGTTAAGTAAAAAAATACTTTGTACCATAGGCCACATCGACTATGATCGTAATTTTTTATATACTGCACAAAAGTGGCAGACAGGGAATGACGAACCAAGTATGTCTGTGAGTTCTAAAAATGAGACTCCGCGTAAACTCAGTTTTAATGAACTACAAAGTACTCCAAAATCAGACTTTTTTCGACTATCTAGGCAATGAAAACAGTAAAATTTATTTTAAGCTGCTTCATCAAAATATAGCGAGCATACTGGCAAAAAAAGAAATATTAGAATTGACAATAGAGGAACTTCAGAAATTAGGCTTTGGTCCAGATGTAATTTGTCTGACCGAAACGTTTGTTATATCGGGGTATGAGCAACATATTAAAATTCATAATTATGACTTGGCATCAGCCTACTGCAGAAAAACCAAATCTAAACGGGGGGGTACCTGTATATTAGTAAAAAACAATCTAAATTTCAAAAAATTAGACCTAGTGAAAAAATATACCATTACAAATACATTTGAATGTTGCGCTGTTGAACTGCCCACAAATAATCTCATCATTATTTGTCTTTACCGGACCCCTGACAGTGACCCTTCTCTATTTTTAGATAGACTTGAATGTGTACTAAATGAAGTTTATTCCATTTATAAATATAATACAAAGATTATTTTAGCAGGTGACACAAATATCAATACTCTGTTACCGGGTAAAATTACTACGCACTATAAAGACCTCGCTCTTAATTATAACTTGACTATGCATATAACTGAACCTACCAGAAAAAAGTCGTGTCTTGATCATATTCTTAGTAATATAGAAAATGCAAGCTCAACAATCTTACCTCTGTATCTGTCCGACCACGAAACTGCACAATTATTAAAATACCCAGTAAAATCTAAAGGTAATAAACCTAAAACATATTATTTTTATAAAAGAGACTACAGTGAAGATAATATTTTTAAATTTAATCATTGTTTAGAAAATCTTAATTTTAATGACATTTTTGAAGAATCTAATATAAACTTAGCATTTAATAAATTTTATGAGCTTTTTAGTCTGTTCTATCTCCTTTGTTTCCCCAAGATAAGAATTAAGAAGGATTTAAATAAGAAACAAAAATGGATCACTAGAGGCCTAAAAAATAGCTGCAAAACAAAAAGACTCCTAAGATTTAAGTACTATAAACACAAAAATAATGCAAATAAATTAAAATATTTAAAATTTTCAAAAATATTAAAAACGTGTATATATAAACTAAAAAAAAATTACAACATACGTTTTATTAATAATAGTAAAAATAAAAGTAAAGCGACTTGGACAATAATCAACAATGAAATTGGTTCCAACAACTTACAGAAAAATGAAATTGAATGTATAAAAAATGACAATAAATTAATAAAAAATACAACAGAAATGGCCAACGTATTTAATTCATATTTTATAAAAACAACTGAAAGAGATATTATCGATAGGCCTAAAAGACAACACAAGCTCTGTAACCGCCCTCAGTCAATGTTTTTAATACCAATGACTGAGAGTGAAGTTTGGAAGGAGGTGATGTCTTTAAATAATACCAGTTCTGAGGGATTTGATGAAATTTGTACCAAAGTAATCAAAACCTCCATTCACAACTTGATTTTTATTTTTACGCACCTAATTAATTTATCTTTCATGACAGGAATTTTTCCAGACAAATTAAAGACTTCCATCATTAAACCCCTACACAAAAAGGGTGACAAAAATGACGTTAGTAACTACCGTCCCATAACTCTTATCCCAATATTTTCTAAAATAATTGAAAAATGTATGCATAAACGTTTAAGTGAATACTGTGATAAATTTAAATTAATACGCAATGAACAATTTGGGTTTCAAAAAAATAAATCGACAACACTTGCCACTTTTACCTTAATGAAAGAAGTTTTAAGCAAAATTAATAATAAAATCTTGACCACAGTGCTCTTCTTTGATTTAAGTAAAGCATTTGATTTCGTTTCACATGACGTTCTTATGCAAAAACTGGAAGCTCTAGGTGTGAGAGGTATCCCTTTGAATTGGTTTCGAAGTTACTTAAGTAACAGACAACAACAAGTCGTGCTGTCTAGATTAAATAAAAACAATGAGATGGTCTCATTTACTTCAGATTACCAGTTTAACAGATACGGAGTCCCACAGGGTAGTGTGTTAGGTCCCCTTTTATTTCTTATATATATTAATGACATAGTTGACGTAACCAATCATAAATGTATAATGTTTGCTGACGATATTTCTATAATAGTGACTACCAAGGGTAAAATCTGTACTGACACAATTAAAATTCACGAAGCTGACATAAATAAAACTATTAATTTAATTACTACATGGCTTGACATTAACAATTTGCAAATAAATTTAACTAAAACTAATTATATAAACTTTAATAATACATCAATATCACTACAAATTAGATATAAGGAATTGAATATTGACGAGCTAAACGAAACTAAATTTTTAGGTATAATCATTAATAAACAATTAAATTGGAAATCTCACATCGAAAACGTTTGTGAAAGAATTAACAAATTTGCCTTCGCCTTGAAATGTTTGCGTAATATAACAAATATGTCAACCATGTTAACAGTTTATCACGCATATGTAGTCTCGACCCTACGTTATGGACTTCTTATCTGGGGAAATGGTACGAATATAAACAGAGTGTTATTGGCGCAAAAAAAATGTATACGTGCAATTACTGGTAGGACTCCGCTTGAATCCTGTAAACCTATATTTAAAGATCTTGGTTTGTTACCCCTGCCTGCCTTATATATTTATGAAGCCAGCATTTTTGTGAAAAATAATTTACATTTGTTTATTAAGAGTATTGACGTGAACCATCGAAATTATAGAAATCCCAATAGACTAATTTTTTTTGACGTACCTAAGGTAGAAAAATATAATCAAAATTGTTTGTGTATGTGTGTCAGAATTTACAATAGATTACCAAATGACATTAAACACTTGCCCATTACATTATTTAAGACTAAATTATATGAATTGTTAAAGAATAAAGTATATTACAGTATTAGGGAATTTCTACAATAATTTTTATGTAAAAGAATTTAAATTAATTATATATAACTTAATGTAAATGTAATCATGTGACGACCTATTTTTCATTTATTTTGCATGCCTAAATTATCTTCGGGCGAAACATGCTTGAACTTATATGTATATTACTGTGTTATCATGACCACCATGTTTTATGCAAATAAACGATTTGATTTGATTTGATTTGATTTGATTTGATTTGAAGATTGCTAACGCCGCCCTGTACCTTGGCTACTTAAATGTTGCAATATGAGGAAAATGCTGCAGAACGTGTACACTGCTCCTGATGACCACTGTCAGGGTGGACCGCGGGAACGCCATCGATCGCTATTTTGTATCGATCGGGTTGCTAGTTATAGTACCTAATTGATATTGTAATTTATATTAATTAAATTTATAAAAAACTATTTCGGTTTTCTTTAAGTCTTGCACTTTGAGAATTTCGTAATTATATAGTATTATCTACGTAACGTTTATTTTTGTCCAATCCTATCGCGCGATCAGATGCGAGAAAAATAAAACAGATCAGTATACACATTTAAGTCTATCAGTTTCCACTACCAAGCGATAGCGCGATCAGAGTATACTAAACCAATTATCCAATCGGAATAAATAATTTCCGAAATTTTAACAATATTAATTTTAAAACTGTTTATTTATAAATTGCGGGATTTAACATTTTTAGTTTTGTTACAAAATAGTAACAATAAACCTCACAGTTCACAATGCCTTTCGGCAAAGACCTCCCAACTGTTTGTCTATCAGGTCAGGTTAGTGTGTTTAAATCTAAATTCAATTTCAAATCTCAGAGTACAGCTAACTGACGAGCGTGTATTATTCTTCATTTATTTATTTATGAAAACAGTTTGTGTAGAAGTTGACATTGAACAAAATAACAAGTATGGTTTCACGCTATAGTAGCCGTAGAGCTCCTTGTGAAAGAGTTCGTCAAGGGAAGCTACCTTACCTATTTCAGCCGCCAAGCAGTAATGTGAGCATTACTGTGTTCCAGTTTTGAAGGGTAAAGCTGCTGGTGAAGTTACAGGCGCAGTGGCCATGTCCCTCAGATCTTTGTAATTTAAAGCTCTGAGTAGCAAGTGTTATAGACAGGTGTAAGGACACACCAGGCGCATGACTTGTTGATCCCGTCACATGGTTTTTTTTTTTAATTATGAAAAGACGAAACTATTTTTCCGGATTTAAATCGCGTATATTTGTTTTTCAAATTTGGGATCCAGTATTTCCTCTGATGAAAGATCCCAAACAGACATAAGACTGCAGTACTGATTAATATGTTTTAATTTATTCTAATTTCTATTATTAATTAAGAATAAATTTAACTTAATAAAAATTCATACTGTTAAAATAAAATAATTTGTAAAACAGATATATTATAGATTAAAAATAATAAGGTATTTAATTAATAACTTTTGTAAGTATAGTGAAGAAATAGGATGGTTTGCATGAATATTAGACATAACCGGTTTATGACTTTACCACCACAGTCAACCGTGACCATGGCACCTGTAAAGGGTCCGATACGTAGGTTTGCTTGAAAAAACGAATATACGCGATTTAAATCCATAAAAAAAAACGTTTCATTTCCTATGTGTAACAATCGCGAAAACCTAAGAACTCGTTAAGAAAAAATAATAAATATTTTGTTTTGTTTTTGTTTTTTTTACATTGGAGTAGTATTAGTAACGCTCACATTACCGCTTTGCGGCAGACATAGGTGAGGTGGTATTCTTCTTATAGCGCTCTATCTGACAAGAACTCTTCGTCATTGAGTAGTAACTTTTAGAGGCCAGTCCCGTATCTTCGACATGTATTTTGATTATAGTGCCCTCCTTATCAATCTTTTGGTTATGCGGGAAGGGTACTATAACCTGTGCAAGCACAGGGAACTTTTAAGTTCAAATCCTGACCCCGGATCCGCCCGTGTACAGTCATATACATGATATACCTGACCCCTAACATTATTAGGCCATTACGTATTGAACAAAGAAAAAATTAAAGCAATTTCAACTTTATTGTGTAAGCAATACAGTGGAGTGTTGCTTGAAGATAATCATATCTTTAAAACCAATAATACTAAATTTCGTCATTTAACTTCCAAGTAAATTGGACGAGCGGCTTGTTGCATCCACTGCCAGTTACAATACCCGTGGTTAGATTCCACGAGCACTGTTTTGTTTTAACTAATGTTAACGTTGACAAATCCCAATATTTGTTCACTAGAAATTGCCTAAGGTGGGTGACCCACCCATACCCACCTTACGCTTTAATAATAATATCTACCCTAGATATTATTAATAAAGCGTAAGGTGGGTATGGATAGATTAACAAATCACGAAATCGCTGTGCAGTTTGCATACGATCGTGACTTCTGTCCTTACGCATTGTCCCACGTTTCGTTTCTATTCTATTCAGTTTTAATTACTTTCAGGGTCTTAGTGAGTTTCAAAGTTTTCTTTCTTGTTTTAATATGCCGCACTTAACGGAATCATTAAAATTAGAAATTATTGTTCTGTATGAACAAAACTTAGACATTCCTTACACTTATCCAGACGTCAAAAACAAAAAAACAATATTATATAGTCATAGCTAAACAATATTTTATTTTTAAAGTGACTCGATCCATGCTTGCCTCAATTTGCAAAGCAATCCTTATACCGTTTGACCACGACGGCGTCACTAAAACTGGTTGAAATTTGTGTTCTGTATTTAAGTAAGAACCATACGTTAAAGATCAAATTCGCTTAAAAATTTTCTTAAAATGTTCACTAATGAGACGACCAGGGAGTCACACTAAAATAAATTTTACGGCTCACAGGTTAAAGATTAAGTTTGTTTAACAATTTTCTCCACATTTTTGTGCTCAGAACCAAAAGGTCGACAATGTCGGCTTGGGGGGTCAGGTATCTTGTGTTTATGACTGTACAGGATCGACTTATAGAGGCCAACTCCCATACCTTTTCTGCATATGTGTTGATTATAGTGACCCTCTTTAACAGCCTCTCTCTCTTGGTTTGTGGGAAGGACACGTACAGGAACCTTATAAGTTCAGGTTCTGACCCCAGATCAGCCAGTGTACAAGGACAACCTTGTGACAACACTACCTCAGTCCAGTTGTCAAGAGGCTAGTGCCTCGGGGGAGCCGCCCCGGGTGCACATACAGTGCCCTCCCTATTTTCCAGATAGGTACCGTAGCTGTAGGCACGCTCACTTCCCGTTGCGCTTTGCAGATCTGACAGTTGCCACCGCTAAGCCGTAGTCCACTATCAAATCTTCTCATTGGTGGCGGAACCGTAAGGCACTCTCACTTCCGGCGTCGGGAAGTGAGTTTCTCCGTCGTCTCTCCAGTTACCAATAACCTAAAAGGCTGGAGGGACCGGAGGATATCTAGCTTATGCTTAATTAGCTCTCTGGGATAGTGTCGGAGATGCCGGTCGCATTGTCCTGTGACAATGTCTGGACAAAGCTTCCAACTTAAAGGGCAACTGACGTATCCCGCGCGTCTCCTCGTTTCAAACTCTCAAGCTTCTACTAGATCAGATCTACTTCAGACTAGATCGCTACTAAGGCGCGTTAGCTGCGCACAAGACAGACGCTCCCGTCACACACCACCGGGGCAGCAAACATATCCGTCACTTTTAGAGGCCAGTAATAAATTTATGTCAGGTTATCCATACCGGGGAATTCAGCAAGCGTAGTCCATAACAGGTCCATATAATCAGTGGTTTGTAAAGGTCGACAGTCTGCAGCACACGAGTCGCCTGTACCGTCGGGCTCGGTCTCGAAGAGTTCTGTCGTCATTAGCACTAAACCGTAGTAGCAGAAGGCGCAGGACATCCTGAAATGATTTGGGATGTGTTAGAAAAAAATTTAGTTGGAAAAACGATAGTGTTCTAGACAACTACTTGTCAGTTCTATAATACTGCCTACTATAATTTTTAAAATCTGTCAAAATTTATTTTATTGAATATGATGCTTTATTATATATTATATATATACAGGGTGTCCGGTAATGAATGTATCATACTGAAATGGCT